TATTCCACAGCGTGTCGCTCTTGTCCCGATTGATCGTTCCATGCCGCAGGACCAGGTCATACAGGATGGCCACCTTCCCCGTGTACTGGTTTTGAACCTGACTGGCCAGGTCCGGGCTAGTGACCATGTCGAACTCAAAAGAGATGTTAATGGTGTAACTGGCCTCATCACCGTTCGGCGTACGCCCGACTTTACTGTAGTCGTTGAACGTGAGCTCGTATTCAAGTCTATCACCCAGCGCGCGGTCTGGTAAAATGGTGCATGCCCAGTGAGCTACTCGAAGTCAAGCGGCACGCAGAACCTGTTCCCATACGCTTCGGCGATGGCCTTTTCACCCGCCAAGATCTTGTCAAGCTGGGCTTGCATGAAGCCGTACCTGACGCGCAACCTAGTCGATTTACTGATGCCTTGATACAAGTTGTTGACGCGATCACCCTCGCTTTTCCAGAGCTCACCGTAGCAGTGAAACACGTTGCTGACGTCGATGCTCAGCACCTCGTTGCTGCTGATCTTGATGGTCGTTTTCTTGACGATGGCCCGACCTACGTTCCACACGAGCTCGCATTTGTTGTTGTCGGAGGTCAACGTAAGGTTGAACACCAGTCGAACCGTGCCCGGGCATGATGAGGTCGTTCTCGCCCAGGTTGGGGAATCAAACCAACAGCGTTTGGTTCTGGTCTATAATGCTGGGATTGTTGGTGATGGTCACCGACTGGCGCACGGCTCTGATGCCTAGAGGCTCCCTTGATCTCCGGAAAGGGTCTAGCTTCCTACCGTATGACATTGTTATATATACAAAATATATAAGTTTAATATAATTAATGGCTGAAGGTGGTTACGATTACATCCAGATGGATGACTTGTAGGATGATAGTGCCCGATCGGTCGGGGAGCAGGAAACCTCGTTCACCTTGGGCAAAGAACTCCTGAAGCAGACCGTCGACGAATACTACGATGCATTGAAGCGTAGGCACAACGTCTAGCCGTTGGGCCGAGACTATTTCAGGTTCACCCTCGATGATAAGGGTGATCATTCTCATGAACGCGCCCACGAGAGAACCGCTTTCCTTATCGACACTCATCAGTCGCCATGGGGGTATCCGCGATGAACTAGTCCTCATAGATGATCGGCCCAAGCTTCCCCCAAAGGTCGTCCAAGATCTGCAAGCTACCAGGCCCGAACTCAACAATGAGCCCCAACGTGCCATCGAACAACTGTTGGACACGTACCATAACAAACCGATATCCGGGTTCGAGTTTACCGTTCGGGAACTGCGAGGGCTGGTCAAGGCCATGCAAACCATTCGTGGGTCACTCCTGGACAACGCGGCCAAACTGGACGCGATCGATGAACACATTGCCCGTGAAAAAACCAAACTCAGCCAGGCAGATGACGAGTCTCTGAAAGCCCCCAACGAGGAACGATTGCGGAACCTGGAAGAGGAAAGGTCGACCCGGCTGAGTGGCGTCCTCCTTCCGAGACCAGCTTCGGTCCCAGATCAGCCTGGTGCCAGAAACCATCGATCGAGTCCTCTACCAGGACACCACGCTAGCTGACAGGATCCGAATCCTCTTCCGAGAGCAATGGATCACCATTGCCAGCGTTCTGACGGCATTTGACTTCATCATATCGACCCTGGTCGTATTGCTAACGGGTGGAGGTACACCAACACCCCCAACTGGTGGCGACGCCAGAGACTGGGTGAGGGGCACCTGAAATCTCTCGGGGAGGCCCTGGCTAAACTCGCTGGTAAGGCATCCTTGGTAGCATCGTCTCGTGGTTGTTGAGTACGCTGGCTAAAACTGTCACGTGGCTCAAGCAAAACCTGTGGGCAGCCATCATCACCGTGGCCGGGCTGGTGTATGTAGCCCCTAAGGAGTTTTTAATCAGATGAGGCCGACCGCGGTCCCTGCGACCACCAGCGTGGTTTTACTATCGAGGTGTTCCTTGTTCTCAGCCACCCGATGTGGAGGAAGTGGCTGTGGGGGTGCGGGCCGAACCCTGGGCTCCGGGGTGGTACGACTCTGTCCGTTTCACGGGCTGTGGGAGGTGGGACGTGACTCACGTTGATGCCCGGGTTGATACCCAACTGCTGGTCGGCCGTGGCTATGACTATTTCGTTGTTGTTGCCCACCACTTTATTGACTCTCAGTTGCATGTCGCTCGGAGCCATGTACAGTCCCACTTCGAACACGTAGTCGACTTTCGACCGGGCGTATTCCAACACGTTTTGGTAGCATTGGATGGCACTCGGCAGATCGACCGGTCTAGCAATAGCATCCTCGACGTTGTTTCTGCGCGTCGTAAGCAGTCGCCTTAGCGAGGATGTAGGAACGCATTTGTGCCTGTCCACACAACAGCGCCCACAGGTACGTTCTAATCGAGTCGTTCAAGCATTCGGTGCTGGCGTAAGTGAACCCTTTCGACGTGTGCAACATACATACTTCCCAATTGTCTTTATCGTATGGCAGTTGCTCGACCTTTTGGATGGTGAAACCAACCTGTAAAGTCCATACGATCATCTCGCCATTCGTTACTCGACAGAGCAAATTCTGGCCGAAGAAAACCTCGTTTCAGTGGATCATCGTTGGCTTCTTTCACCAGTTTTGGTCCACTGTGTATGGGTTAAGGAACGAGGTTGGAGAATACATGGAAGAAATTACCCGAACTTAACATATTGTGCTTCATAAAGTTTACCACTGTATCTTTTCATAATGCTTTTAGGGAGAGTCCATCACTGTACGGAACACCCAACCCGTGGTTGACTCCTCCCGGTATACGCCAATCGGTTTTCGGATTGATTCCGAATTCACCACAAATCTGTTTGTAAGCCCGCCAATCGTGCGGATTGTTTGATGCATCCCACACCTTGTCCTGTGGAAGCGGGGTGCTGATCTCTTTGAGGATACGCCTGACGTGGTAGTACACTTGAAACGTGAGCACAGACCTACTCAGCGCATCACGCCGAGTGTCGGTCAATGTCAAGCCACACCCCATTGTAGCACACCTCACGGCGAAGTTGAGTTGATTCTGCCAGAACTGCATCGGGTTGTTGAACCAAGCGTGGACTGCCTTGACGTCACCGAAAGCCTATACCGTTCGAACACATCGATGAACTGGGCTCCGAAGTACAACCCAGCCACATCGACCACGATCTTCATGTTCGTGAAGTCTATGTCCATCTTAAGGTAAAACACTCCCGGGGTGTACATTTTAAAAGTATTATATCATGGTACATATACTTTAATATGTACGTGACACTTCCAGGGATAACGAGCGATGAGGCCGTTCAGCTGCAGCACGCGATCAATAATACGTCGGGTCACCTCGAAGTCGCACTCTGCGATATCACCTACCTGCCGCGGTGGACCAACATCAATGACAGCAACAACAAGCTGTTCGTCAGTGGCGTCTGCAACCACTTAACCGACGGCTACTACAGCGTGAGCTAGCTAAGCGATGAAGTCTTCGACCGCGTGGGAGCCCAACTGAAGATGAACCATTCAAACGGCACGGTTGTGTTAACCAACAAAGGAATAAACCCCTTGAGGCTCGGCCAACCATTGGTGAGGACACTCGGGCTGCCGCCGGACGAGATAAAACCCACAACTATAGAAGTCTATCTCGGGGCCTCGTTTCTGGAGGCAGAACGACAACTTTTACCCAGGTTGACACTACACTGGCACCTCCCGGACAGTGGCCAACGTTGCCGTATTGTCGTACACCTGGGGCCCTCGGGGTTTAATACCCCCTTATGCATCGGGCATGTTTGTGTATCCACAGAGTCGCCTATTAGCCTCTCGCCTATTTCCCTGTACGATAATCTAAGCCTTATAAGCCTCAGGTACACTGGGCAAGAGTTAAGTATCACACAATTAAATCTTATTGCATAATATATAATACGCAGGATGGGCCTGTACCCAGTCGTAGAGGAAGTAGCAAAGACACTGGAAACCGTAGACGGGTTCCGCTTGAGACAGTTATTCGACATAAAATGCCAACTAGAACAAGACCACGACAGACGGACAGCATTATGCAAGCAGTACCATAGAGCTTTCAATGTCGTGGATGGGGTTGATACCACCCTTATGGCAACCAGTATGGGATTAGGAGCCGTAGGTGCACCCATAGTACTAGGCATCAAAATAACAGCTGGGGTGTCAGGGTTGGCGGGGTTGGTGTTTAAGTTTGCATCCCCCAGACTGCATCGTAAAGCGTTGAAGCACGACGAGATCAGGGTCCTGGCCGAAGCAAAGCTGAACACGGTAAGCGACCACATCTCCACCACACTCACTGAGAGTAAAGTCTCCGAGGAGGAGTTTCTTTTGATCCTCTCTGAACTCACCAAGTACAACGAGATGAAGCAAGAGATCCGGTCCAAGTCTCGTAAGACTGCCGTAGCAAGACGAGAAAAAAAAGTACATAGAACAAGGGGTACAACAAGCCCGACAAGCCTTCATCACATAGACCAAAGAGATCATAGACGATTCTCATTAAACTGTTTCATCCAGGTCAACATGATGTAGGTGTTGGTTCACGGTCCTAGTGACCAGGATGTTGGTTGGGGCCTCAGAGGGGGTTCATCAGAAAGGAATTATTGATCATACCTCACGGCACCAAGTTCCCACCCAAGTAGCGATTCAAGGCCATAGTGGCCAGGAAGTCGGTTGGGGGAAATCTATGAAATAAAGCTCTACACCCACTGTATATACTACTAATACATCTTATTGCGCTGTAGCAGACAATATATACTCTCTGTTATTCACAGGCATGTGGATTATATATTTCGCTGTACATTATATTGAACACATTTGTTTTGTAGGAATGTCTATCATTTTTAAAAGACTGCTACTGTTTATGGTTTATCCCTGCACAATAGTATCAGCTGTTCTTAAACAACGTTTTGACATGTTTCTGCTCCTCAAACGTGATACTTCCTGGATGACACGTGACGGTGACAAATCGCCACATCACGAGATTTAATATTTCTTTTAAAAATGTGTTGTAAATCACATCCTGGTTGACTTGTGAATGGGTATATAACCACCCAAGAAACTGAACAAATAGGGGCGGCTCACTCATAGACCCTGATCTGTTGCACTGAGGTATCAAGGAAGAAATAGAGGGTTTTCAGCTTTATCGGGTAAGTTGTTTGTGTTAGCAACTCAGAATATGTTCAGGCCACATCAATATCTTCAAATGTAAAACCATGCTTTGCTATACGTACTGCTTAAGCAAAGGCGTGTTCATTTACTAATTGCTGTGTATTCAGTTGTTGAGTATTACATAATTATGATAACAAGGCGAAATTCCGGGACAAGCCGAATAGCGACTCGTGTCCCATAGAAGAATTTCGTAGTGGCACATAAACACCGCAACTACTTCAAACGAGAACGATAATTTCTCTTTCTGTGTAATTCCAATAGCACTCGCATATCGCATTATTGACGATGATTACGATAATGCTCATGATGGTGATCATGAGAAAAGTAGTTTCTTGAAAACCTATTTTAATGCAATTGTTCTCAGCTGTTCGTATTTCATTTACGAATGTATATTTCTGAATAATGGTTTGTAATTTAGTAAAGAGTCATTTTTCTGATCCGTGTAAACAAATCTCCTTAAACCCTGAATGATTATCTTTATTGTTAACAACGCATCAGCTAAGTGTCTGTTTTATAACATGCCTTGGGAAAATGTATAACAATTGAATTGACTCGAGATATTAGTCCAGTAGTAGCTTTTGGAATTATTCAATTAGTTTATCATACACTGTATATGGGGCTTATATGTATAGTAATCTATGAAATGGATAATTACTATGTAACATTACCAAAAACTTACTCAGTGGTTATATTGGGAAAATTGTATATCTCTTCAACATCAAGATAAACAGACATGTTTATGTAGGTGTATTCAAAATATTAAATTAACTTAAGGAATATAGCTTTCAAAGAATAACTTTTTTTAAGAATTCAAGCAGAGACCCGTAAATGGATAGTTTTTACAAGGTGTTTTTCCAGGTGAGAAACTTGCATACGGCCAGGTTGTCATATCACTGGAACAATTTTGAAATGAAAAGATGACATGTTAGATAAACATTGAAGTGAAATGAAAGCACGTTATTTAGGATTAAAGTTATTTCGTTATATATTAATATAAATAGTTTCATTTATTTCGAAATGTTCACCACCTCTTGTCAAAATAAGTATGGTGGATATTAAACTTAAGTAGGGTTTTTGACAGGATTGTCAGAAAAATAAGACCAGTTGGAAACATTTTTCAACATATATTTTAAATTAATTATTCCTTTTTATAGGAAAACATACTTAAGCGTTTTCCATAGTCCATACCAACTGTATTCGATCGGGGGGGAAACAGGAACATTTGATCAATTGAGAAAAAACGCTCACTTTGCCAAAATGATGTTAAGTCAATTCTATAAAACTGCTGACTTGACGCGTTGTTATCAAAGCCACAAAAAGCACACTAAAGAAAAGCCACATTTGACAGCGATTGAGAGAGAGAGAGAGAGAGAGAGAGAGAGAGAGAGAGAGAGAGAGAGAGAGAGAGAGAGAGAGAGAGAGAGAGAGAGAGAGAGAGAGAGAGAGAGAGAGAGAGAGAGAGAGAGAGAGAGAGAGAGAGAGAGAGTCGTTGAAATGGTCCATCAGGGAGCAACGCACACCGACGTCGCCAGAAGGTTAGGATGCGCGCTCATAACCGTCTCCAGTTAAATGCAGCGGTTGCGTCAGTCACCAGTTTAATGCAGCGGTTGCGTCAGGCAGGTTGGACAAGACCGAGGAGCGGGTGACCACACCTATTCATGACCGTCACACCCGGGTACTTCATCTCCGGAACCGCTTCATCACGGCGGCGTTAACGGTAAGGACGGCACTGAGACACGTGATCAAGATGACATTTTATAACCAGTTGTGAAGCCATTCATCCAACAACAGCCTCGTGGAATTAATTTCCAGTACTATAATGCGAGGCCACATACGACAAGGCTGACTCAGAACTTCCTCGCTAACGCCAGCATTCAGGTTTCACCACGGGCGACGTCACTGGATATGAACCCAATCGAACACTAATCGGACCATCTCGATCGCTAGCTCAGAAATCGCTCTGTGCTTCCAGTCAACCTCCGGGAATTGGAACAATGCTTCCTTGATGAATGGCAACGCCCCAACGCCCCTACCCCCACCCATCCCCTCAGCGTTTTGACGTCATCAGCCCATAGACATGTACTAGCGTGTAATGAACGTTCATGGTGGACGTACTAACGGTACTAACGTGACTTTGAGACGTCTGTTGTGAAATTTTCCACACTGGCCTCGTCATGTGTTTGAATGAATTTTTTATTTTGGACCCCTCACGTCTTTACAGGCCTATTCTTATGACTGTAAAGGATTGATTTAAATGAATTGTGTACACGTGTTATTGAACAGATTCTCAAATGAAATATACCAATCTAATATTTCTGTATAGTCTGGTTGTCTGGTAGCGCTGGTAGTCTTCTGATGTGTCGATCCAGGTATTCCCATAAGTTTTCTATCGGATATGATATCTGGAGAGCATGCTGGCCACGGCAAAACAATGATGTTAGAGTTTGTTGGGTTTTGTTTTGTTTTGTTTTGTTTTGTTTTGGGGGGGAGTGTTTTCGTTTATTATTATTATTGTTGAGTACAAAAACATGATGAGTACAAGCATATAGAGGAATATGTGCACATACAAGTTAGTGGGCTCAAAAGCGATATGGGGCGATGGGGTAGCCTAGTGGTTAAAGCGTTGGCTCGTCACGCCGAAGGCCCGAATTCGATTCCCCACATGGGCACAATGTGTTAAGCCCATTTCTGGTGTCCCCCGCCGTGATATTGCTGGAATATTGCTAAAAGCGGCGTAAAACTAAACTCAGTCAGTCAAAAGCGATATAGTGCATTGAATATCAATGTTAGTGATACGTTCTTTGTTTAATAGTCATTCAGGGTTAAATTCAGGGATGAGAGGAAACCATTTGACTAAAAAGCGTTCAACATTTGTTTTCTTCTGGAGATGAATGATTCAGTGGTAAATATGTCTTTCAATATCCCTAAGTAATTATCAACTTTTGGAATTGTTTTTGTCAAAGAGCAAGTGTAAATATATCTCTTAGCAGATAAGATGATGTGGTTCAATAATGGGTTCTTACCTAAAATGCCAAACCAAATCAAAGATTTTGTCAAATTAAGTGTTTGGATACATTTCGTAATCCACTGTTCAAGTTTCTTCCAGAAAGTTTTGGTTTCATCACATTCCAAATATACATGGCATAAAGTTTCAACAGAATCATTACACAAAGAACATATTGTATTGTCAACCAGATTCATTCTAAAAAGTTCTTTTTTGGTATAAACAATTCCGTGCAGAAATTTATATTGAAAATCTAACAGTTTCACATCTCTTAAATTCTTTCTACAAGTATGAAAATTCAAATGCCAATCAAAAATCAATACAGTCAAATAATGTTTCCCATTTATGGCACGCGTGAGGTTTAACATTTTCAGATAACAATTTATCATAGAATAATTTTGAACCTTTTTGGGGGGGATATGAAATCCTTTTGGAGTGAATTTATTGTGAGGTCATTAATGTTTATATATCTATATTCCTTTAAAGTCTTTTTCCAAGGTTCAGGTAAAATATATATAACATATCCAAGATCTCAGTGAGTACCTTTTATGTCAAATTTAAGCTTCAATTGATCAAAGGATATAAACCCATGTTCATCACAAAGATCTTTGATCGTCAAGATTCCCCTTTTAGCCCAGTGACTAATGATGTGATCTGAGTTTTCAAAATTGTTATTCAACCATAAAGGTTGGGCTAAGATTTCATTAAAGGTCACATGCAACCAAAAAATCAAACATAATTAAAACACAATTATCACTTCTTCATGACATATAATATAAGCGTATAATCGCAAATCAAAAGTGCAATATTTTGTACTTGGGTTTACCTCCCTCGAAACGAAGCAGCCGGGATACCGAACCCAGTCAGAGCGGGTGGGTGTGCACTCAAGTGTAACGGCTGGTTCATTTGCAGATGCCGCCTTCACGGCTCATTGTGTGTGTATATATAGAGATGTTGGGTTTTGTAAATACATGCTCATTTTTTTTGCATTTTTGATGATTTGTGTCGGTACGTCCATACCGAAAGTTATCAGAATCTGCAAAGTTGTGTTTTACGTTGCATGTGACCTTTAATGTTCTCTGCATCTATGGTATTTTTGATACAATATAATTTCCATGCTTTTAATACTTCTTTCCAAAAAGGATTATCAACTGCAACTATATTCTGAAAATTTGCTCCATATTTTAGCATATCCTTAAAAGGAAAATTGCATGGGTTACCAGGATTTGTTTTTTAAAGTATAGTTTGAGTGTAGATAATTTCATGGCGTTAACAAAGGTTTTAATATCAATCTTCCGTAGCCCAATGATGTTAGAGTTATGCACAAAGTCGTTTGTCAGTCTTGCTGTATGAGGTCTTGCGTTATCGTGTTGGTAGATAATGCCACAAATGACAACACAGCTGGTCGCAAAACTTCATCCCTGTATCTTCGAGCATTCAAGTTGCCATGAAGAATCACAAGTCTCGTTTTGATCTGTCCCCACACCATAACGCTACAGGCTCCAAACGGTCGGACTTGCTGAACGCATTTCGGCGCTAAAACGTTTACCTACGCGTCTGTAAATTTGAGCCTGGTCGTCATTACTGTACAGACAAAACCTACTCTCGTCGGTGAACATCGCACGTCGCCAATCGACGACGTCGGTTTTGAAGAGTCAGATGCACTTCGGGGTAGGGTCGACATGCACGAATACCATGTTCTCTTAGTCGCCGGTACACTGTATGTCGACTGATACGGAATCCAAGTACCATCGCTGCCGTTGACGTCGCCGTTACTAAATGATTTCTCAGATGAATTGTCCGGATGTGGTGATCATCACTGGGCGTAGTCTCACGTGGTCGACAACTCCTAGGGCTGTCTGACGTATTGTCTGTTTGTCTTTGTCGTTGCATCATTCTGATGGCAGTTGGCAGGTGCAAACGAAGATTCTGGCAATGACGGTGAAGCTAGCTCCTTGTTGGACCATTCCAACAGCTCTCTCTCTCTCTATTTCGATTTACCTCAAACGTGTCATATTCTTGGTGTTATTTTTACTACTGTGTTGCTCACGTGTCGCGTATGCTGTTTCATATCCACAGTATGCACGTGCATTCCGTGTTACATCAGAAAAGGTCGTTTTGGATTTCTTTCGACGTTTAGGCAATTCTTTAACTTGTTTTGCAGTCTATTCCCGGAAAGAATGGGTCTGTACGTGTGAGACATGATCGACAACAATATCAATAATGTCTGGTGTAAACTTCTTTAACTGCAATAAAATCCTGACCCTCCTCCTCATTGACTGTATCAGACGTTGAATTCAACGTTGAGGTATTGCGAGATTCGGACACTAAACGGGCCATGGTAGAGTTGTTTCCGCCTCTTGGCGAAAGAAATAACCAACCACACGTGCACCGCTGTGGCCTACAATATTCGTAGACTGGCATTTTGATCAGAGTATGGTCATCAAAAACTAATATTACAACCCCCGTCTTGTATGACAAAACCCCTACAACATCAATTAACCCCCGCCAAGCGGTATTTGCTGCAAAATATTCCCTTGTTCATATACTCGGCCATCAGTCATGAATAAACATCACGGGCTTCAAATTCCAGTGACACCAAGTTAGTCATAATGCTTTGTGCTCCGGGGAAAAACAACGGACGTTTGGTAGGTCATCTGGCTCTACATCTAAAGGATCATGTGGAATCCAGTCTGTTTTTAAATAGCCACTTGATACAAACGGATAATTCAAGTTTTCTCGCCAACAAGCCGATAGTCGATGGATGACAAACAAAATATCTCAACATGACATGCCAGCATTCTGCATACAAATAACTTGCCATCTTTTAGCAGTTGTCAGTTAACGAGGCCCCATACACTGCAAACGTGAAAATATCTTTTTTCTGTATATGGTTATTCGACGAAGACTGGATCTCCGTCCAAACAACTTTAAATGTGACATCGGAATTTGCTGCAATAGGACGATGTTATCACGCTCCTCCGTTTTCTTAAATGGCATTGCTAATTGATATCTGGTTTCAACTTACCAGAGGAATACACAGAGAAGAGTGATATAAGTGATTGATAGGAAATAATGAAAAGAACATATTTTATATGGCTGACAAATTATTAAATATGAGGGTACACTACACAACACGTTTATGTCCAAGGAGATTATATGTAGAACCATTTCTATATATAAATGATCTGATGACGGTACAGTTGCATTATGAGCAAATGGGAATGTTTCTAGGAAATGATCCATGCGAGTTTGTTTTCCCCATAGCAAATAATCCAAGCCACGAAATTCACCATCCACTGATTATGAAGTGGTCAATTCTAAATTAACTTCAGGGAATACGTTTAAAATTAAGGCGGACAAATAGTATTTATAATCATACTTTGAGTTTATTCGCAATGCGGAGGGATTGAATCAGTCGCCATGAAATAGACAATAAAGTAGAAACATTTTTATAGATTAGGTGATATAACAAAATGTATATGTGTGTAAACGTCACTTCTTATATGCATATTTTCCCTATAGTTTTCATTCCATGACTTTCCTCAAGGTTCTAAAGAACAGTTTTCTCAGATTTAGGAAACTGTATGTTGATATCCGGAGGGACTGTATGTATTAGTAAAAGATGAATGTTTCCTTAAAAGTGACATATATTTCAGTCAGTAATGTTTCCGCCCAAGAGTTCTGAAGACATACTCACAGTTTGAATATATTTCCGAATGACATAATACGGACTAGAAACACGATGCCCAGGATCAGATTATCAAACGGGCTGCATTTACAATCAGCGGGTTTTTGTTGTTGTGATATACATGTACACGTATCTATTAAATTATTATACGTCTCTATGCAATAGTAAGCTAATCTCGATTACCTTATCAACCATCAAACAATCACATGTAAATTACTAATGTATTAAACAAACATATACAAATAATGTAATATTCTCACCTTTATTTTTCTTCAGTCATGTGTGACTTTGTCATATATGGCAATCTAAACGCGAAAATCATCTATTTGTGGTAAACGTTCAGATTTTTTCACCTTCCCCTCTGAGTACTAAACCTTTGAATCAAGGACGTATGTGCGTTTCGTGAACATGCCTACACAATTACTCTGTTATTAAAGCTTCCTTGTAGAAGCCTTATGTAACCTGACATAAAGGCCTATTTTTCAGCCTTTTCTCAACTGTCATATCTGAGTGAACAAGGATGTGTATTTGGAATTTTCCATAACATCAACTTTGTGTCGCTTTTCTTGTTGCTCATGAAGCCGAACCGTATTGGACAAGGTCGCCACAACCGTCCTGGTTAAAAGACCAATGAAAACGTCGCATAAATTTAATGTCACATGGGACTCTTATTATAATGATAAACAAGCGACACAAGCTTTTCAATAATCATAATGCATACCAGCCAAGGTTGACTGAAGGCTTTGACTTCTCAAGAATGAGTCACAAACAAACAACGATTACATTTGTCCTCGAGGAAAGTCGAGGTCAACCCGCCCCAAACTTACTGAATCGTAATCTCATTTAAACAACGCACTTTCTTCTCCTATTTTTCTTCCGGATAATGCTTAAACTTAAAGGTGTAACTGTGGTCTAATGCTAATGTCTCAGTTCTGGTCTGGTTCCCGACTGAATGTGCGCTGCGACAACTTGTGACATGCCTTTAACTGACACATTTTGTGTTGTGATTCTCAGTTTAAAACAGCATGGTTTGTTTAAATCTTAAAGTGCAATACAAATAATGGATACCTATGAAACGTCTATACATTGTCACGACACGTGTGAACATGAGTCATTGTAAGACTCGGGTAACCTTGCATCGATTAAATTATACAAACTCGCAATATTAATCAGCATTAGTGTTATTTCTAACGACGGTTCCTTAACATTTAAATCCAACAGATATTCATGGGCTACCACAATAAAGAACATCCTCTTTCGCTTAGGTTTTGGTAGAGTATGGATCCAACAAAATATTGGTGATGTCGATTTATTTCTTCGAGAAATTAAACTATGACTCTCAGACAACCTCTTTCAAGACTGGCACTCCTCCCTGGAATCTTCCTCTCAATGTGAATATTATCATCGATATAAGTCTCTACTCAACGTTGAATCATATATAAGAAATGACATTCCACAGTATTTATATTTTTTATGACATTGTGTATCAAAATTCAGATGTAACAAGTTTAGACTTAAAGTTGAAACTGGAAGACACAACAATATATCTCATGAAGAAAGATGTTGCTATTACTGTTGAAAGAAATTAAAAACACTGAGGAAAATGAATACTGTGTACTTTTGAAATGTGAAATATTCTCTCATCTAATAAGGAAATATCTACCAGCTCGCCATACAGTCAATCCAACAACTACTAACTTCACAGATAGGACCACCAAACTTGACTTTAACTTAATGTTGACTTTTATTACTTCTCTTCTTTTCCTAGTCAGAACTAGCAGATTAACTGCAATACAATACAAATAAAACTATGTCTTAGAAAGTGGCTAACAAAACAGTACTTATTATGACAAATATCTTGACAATATACACTTACTTACTTGTTATTTGAGCTTACTTAATACTTATAACATAAAAACTTACTTCAGCTTAATATCAAAAGTTACTTCAGAGAAATATGACAAACAACAAACCTTTTAAGATAAATTCCTCAGAATTAGCCTAACGACATTACACATGGAACAAGGGTAATAACTTGCCAGATACAAAAAGCTTATTTCAAGAAATGTGAGCAGAGGAACATTTTAATATACATACCTAAAATTACCATAGCAAATTCTTATGCATAAAATATAAATCATAAATTACAAAATAAATAGAAATAGCTCACCATTACTGCATTCCCTAATAAAGATAACTTTGACTTCAACTTGAAAAACTTCATTAACTTGAACATTGTAGACATACTGCCTTGTGCATCCTACCATCTGCTATGTGATATGATAAATAACCAGGGTTCCCAGAACTAAGAGCAAGGGCTAAAATTGCAATCCATCCTGAATAGCCTCCCTTAATAATGGAATACTTCAAATTATCTCCCTTTAACTAATCACTTTAAGGAACAAATGCACTAACCTATTCAAGCTTAAAATGAAATAGAAAAATATTAATATCCTAAGATGATAAATAAATAAATATACTTATATTAATATAAACAGCATATTCTTAGAAAAATAATTTAAAAAATTTCTTTGCTGGAAAAAATAACATACTGATGAACTTGAAGACTTATAAAGATAACATTAAATGAACCTAGAAGAAAAATGCAGTTTTGGCCATTATATCACACACCTGATGGAATCTACTGACAAAGATGTATGATATAAACTTGGACTGTATCTATTTATAGTATTTACTATAAAATCATCTTCGGAAGCTTAATTTTAAATTATGCTTGATAAAAATGTACCATGCATCTACCATCCAGCCAGTTACTCCGTTGCAGTATAGACACTAGTCATTATAGTTTGAGTAAAACACGTACCTCTTACAAAATGTGTCTATAAGTCTGAAATATGTCACTTCATAAATGATAGTGTTGATCCATTTCTTACAACATTCTGATACAAAATAATGGAAAAAAAAGTAGTAAATTTAAGAGATTACTCTAGACAAGCAACTAATCATACTGTGTCAGAGAATCTGTATGCTACTTAATTATACAGTTTAAATGTCATGTGTGCATAACATTTGTAATAATTTAGACATTTTACTATTTCAGTCATACTTTCAAACGTTAGAAATAAAACATTTCAATTAAATTTCGAGATGCAGAAATGCACCTAAACGGTTCGAACGTTATACGAATACAATCTAATTCAATGGGTTGCGTACCATTTGATTTCAAGGCCTTACGCAGGCATCAGTGCTCAATCAAACTCTGTGAAATATATTGGAAGTCTGTCAATAAATTCACAGCTCATTTACTTGGTGAAAGGATGCTAAGTATACCAGCATGTGATATCTAATTGCCGGTCAAGAATAAAGTTTTGTCTGAATAATTGATAAAGAACTATTACGACAGAAACGTCGTGGGTTAAATGCTGAAACGTGAAGATGCTACTTTTATGGACCCAAATATATTCTTACACAATATTTATTTACATGGCTTCCTTTCACGGTAACGTTTATAAAACTATTCAGACGTCCATTGTAGTAGATACCTTGACTGTATTACACATCTTCTTACTTTCTTAGAGTTTATGCAATAAGCACATGTTTTGTCATATCTTATTAATATGTGTGTGTGTGTGTGTTGTGTGTGTGTGTGTGTGTGTGTGTGTGTGAGAGAGAGTATATCTAACTTTGCTTGACTGTTTGTTGTTTAATGCTACACTCTACAATATTCCATCTACTTGCGGTCTGTAAATAATCGAGTCAATACAGTGATTGACATCATTGTTTCTTCTTGCAAATAGAATGCGATGACATGCTGAGTCAGTGAGCCTGACCATCCGATAACGTTAGTCCCTTCTGACGACAATCTACAAGTGACCTATCATCAAGTAACAATCAGTTATTCGATACACACAAACAACACTCTCGACAATGGCAGACGTGTTACACGGATTAAAAACCTTATTTTATGCATTCATGAATCAGTACCCGATTATAAGGATATAAAATAGTACATATGATGTACGGTAAAATAGTTTAGCATGTATGGATGTCTATCGTTTACGTCAAACAAACTCATTGCTTCTATCACATGTGTTGATTGGTAGATTTTATGAACGACTATGGAAGTAGAATGACCTGCATTCATGCAGCTGTTGGTAACAAAGGGATCACCATCACATACTGTTCACGTAAAAATACATTTGGGTACTTGACATTAACCTTGTCCAGTATCGTAAATGCATTGCTTTTTGATGCAAAAATAATGTCCAAAGCATGTCTTCTCTAGCAGGTCTGGATTTCTCCGGTGTATATTTTATCATATTTTAACTTATAATAAGTTACAAAATATAATTTTATCTCAGAGACTAAACTGCCTTTTGATCCATACATTACAACCACTTGTTAACCTCGAAATAATTGTACACCTGAGACGGTACGTAAGTCCCATTTCATTCAAAGTATATTTCATTTTCCCTGAGATATTCGTAGAATATGATTATACGTTCGTTTAGTGTATAGCTAATTTATGCAAAACTCGCAAACACCTGACGAAATGAAGTAAATCAAGCTAGGGTCCATGCAGTTAGCAAAGATACTGCCTGTTCCATGTTGTTTTTGCTCTCAAAAGTGATACATTTTCATGATAAGATAACATGCTAGTCAAAATCTGTGATATTCAATTAGTTTTAATGACCATTGACAGCAGTTATTTAGTATCTAAATTTATTCATCTTTATTCTACAGATTGTTCTCGTCACCATATGGCTGAATTATACTTAGGGAAACACATGACAGCACAAGTGTTCCTTTATTTTTTACAAGTTTCTTCATAAGCTTTGTATCGCAGTGTGTGTGTCAAGAAATCTGGAAAAAAATAAAGGAACACTTGTGCTTTCATGCGTTCCCTTATTTGTTTCTCTAAGTATATATTATAACGACAATCTTTCGCTGGTGTGCCAACCTACCATTTGCCATGGTGTGAGTGTGTTTAACACTGAGTCATTTTTATATGTGTTTTGTATTTGAAAACCAGAAAACGACCGCAGTTTTCATTCCTGTTCACAGACAGCCAGTAGGTAACGTTGTTTCACTTCAGAATCTCATCTTCGCGTGAGCATACATGTTCGTCACATAGATGTTCATGAAGGAACAGGAAAAATATTTGTTAGTTTTGTGTGTTGAAATGGCAGTACTGTCGTGGTAATGGTGTCACTATCAGATCGATCGCTGTTTTCTATCAGAATAGACAATACATAGTAATGAATGCACAAACAACACTCGATCCCCAATATCAGCTTACTGACGGACAGCATTTACAGTAAGCGTTTTACTGTGTACATAGAGATTAATAAACGAGCGTCTGTCAGATACCATGATGATTTACTGTTTCAAGGAGTATTTAACGAGCGAAAGGGAGTTACATACGTTTAGAAACAACGAATTGTAAGATAAATGGTATCTGACATACACAGTACAGTTATCTGAGTACAGTAATCTGTATCTTACAGAAGATAAAATCGCACCATTTGCGGTCAAATGAATTCAAATTCCACATTCTCCCATCGTAGTTTCGCAATGATACACAACATAACGTTTATGAATGAGTGACGTCACTTGGCTTCCTAATCACTACTCATTGCCAAGGTGACCCTCCGCGAAAATGGTTCTGCCATAACTTCGCGTTATCAAGGCGATAATGATAATGCAACACAATTTAAAACAATGGTGTTACCATGTAAACATAGATGATTCTACTTCGTGCAAGCATTTAATAATTGTGCGTGTGTACCATACCTACACAATTACTGCTTTATGTGAACTGACATTTGGGCCAATTTCTCAGTACCCGTGAAGATCCGGATTAGAATTGGTTTTCAGTTACCCATGCTTGTCGTAAGAACCGACTAACGGAATCGGGTGGTCAGGCTGTCTGTATTTGTTGGCACACGTCATCGTATGCCAGTTCTGTCGGTCGATGCTCATGGTGTTGACCACTGGATTGTCTGGTCGAGACAATGATTTACAGACCCCGCAATATAGATGGACTATTATTGAGTGTGTAGTGTTAAACAACAAACTAACCAATTCTTTTTCATAATCTTAATAGATCTAGACTTCCGCCAGACCAAATGGTTTCAATCTCTAAAGAATGAATCATTAACAAACCATGATGACACAGATGCTCACGGAAGGTCGGGGTCACCTAGACCCATCGATGTGACACACGATTATTTTATTTAATGGTAAACCAATTGTGAACCTGATTCACGCTTGTTGAAGGGATTTGCATGCACCCCGGTCCCAATACATTTGTTTTGTCTCTTTGTGTATCCCTGCCACAGTCTTACACTCTTCAAAAAAAAGACACGCATAAGCCATTTTAAAAGAATTTATTGCGTTAATTCACATGCCTTTAGACAATGAGTTCGCCAACACAACAGCACCCTTTGTCCACAAGATGGCGTGAAAGTAAGTACTTTGTATGTCCACCATTGGCAGCAATTACTGCTCGACACCGTCTCGGCATAGACCGGATAAGTCGACGAAGTCGCTCTTGCTTAATTCTTCACCACTCTTCCTGCAATGTGAAGGCCAGTCGTGGAAGTGTCTGAGGCATGTTTTGACGTTCACGTACACGTCGATCGAGTTCATCCCACAGGTGTAACGGGAAGGCCATGGCAAGACATTTGTACAGACGAAAGAAGTTTACGCTGACATAAACTTTATTCCTGTCCGTGATAATACGTAAAAGACTGAAACAAACAAAAAGGTCCAGTCAGAACACAATCTGGAAACATTTTCGGAATACAGAATTAAAGAGTGTTGCGACTGCATAACTACAGTGAAGCGCTAGCATGGCGGATACCTTGAGATTTTATGTGCGCTTCAAATTGGACATGAAGGCTAGTATACTCATTTCTGACAATAATTAACTATTGGTGAAAATATTGCTGTTTACACTACACAAGAATATGCTAGCACTAGAAATAAATGTAATATGCCATTTATGATACTAACCTACTCTGAACAGAGCTCAAACATACTGGAAACTAATTTGAATCACCACCCTAACTTAAATTTTGAACTTTTAATCATTTTGTGAGTTCTCTAGTAATTGTTGTGTTAGGTTTTGTTTATAATTCTAGAATATTTATACATATTATTTGGGATGGGGAAACGGGAGGAACTCTTACCCTAGGTAATATCATAAATCATATACATACACTTTGGTGGCATATTTTCACTGTTAGTGGGATGGAATCCCGGTCCTGTAGCAAGTTTGCCATTGCGGCCTGTTTCCATGTGCTTTTTACTAAGGGAGGTAACTCTGCTACTCGGTTAGTGAATTGCATAAATAAAAAACTAACGAAACGAAACATCACAACATTAACGATAGAATTGGCAAGATAGCGGACTGTGACGCATGCTGTATGTGAAGTAGCGTTGTCATGCTGGAACAACGCCCTCTGTCGGTCCATAATGAAACATGTGCCGTGCAAGGACTTCGTTGATGTACTGATTTGCTGTCAAATTCCCCTGAACCACCACTAAATCATATTATTTTGTGCTGGATATCACACCCCACATCATGACAAAACGTTACTTTCTCTGACACGCCGTCTCACATCTCGCCAGTGAAGAAGACATCGTGATTCATCACTGAACCAGCCTCGCCTCCAGTTTCGGACACCACCGCAAGCGATTCTGCCGATGGGAGTCTCTCAAATTGTCACCAACTGGCCATCTTGGTCGAATCCCCACTTCACTTCCTGACAGTTTGGTCGGAAATTCTACTCAAACCAAGTATGCGTTGTGCAGTTCCCATGGTCGTGGCAAGACGATGACGCAGTGTACAACCCGAATGTAGCGGTCCTGGGCTCTTGGACGGCCGCTTCTCGAGCGATCTTGGGCGGAATTGTTCTGCAGGAAACGTTTCGAAAGGCGAGATTTTGTGTTCTGATGAACGTTAAAA